CACCTATTAGAACATGGAATATAGAGGTCATGAAATATCAGTCTCTTCACAGGGGGGAAAAAATTACTTTTAAAATCGAATGGAATACAACTTTCGGGATTTAACTACGATGCTGCAGATAGACACATAAATCTATACATCTTATTAAACTTATGTAAGTCGAATATCAGTATCGGGGTAGGTATTTAGGGTCAACAATGAAATTTAAATATTCGTTAAATTAACTATACATATTTATTCTTAATGCATAAGATAGTAGTATTTAAAGTCCAGGAGTCCGTAATTTCCCAATACAATAGACTTAGATTTTTTATCATCCAGACTTGTCAAAATTTGTTACCTATATCAAAGCCTCTGAAAAAAGCCCACAGAGACAAGGAGTGGGCTTTTAAAAAAGTCCTTAGCTGACACACAATGATAGTAAGTACAAGAAAAGAGAAAAAGAAGAAATATTTACAAAAAGAAAATGAGATCCCATCAAAAACATTCTGTAAAAATATTGCAAGTCTCGCAAGCGCATTCTTCTACCTCAAAAAGCTATGAGATGTAATGTAAAACCAAGTCGGTTAATTTATTCATTACCTATCTATGAAAGCATCTATCCGACAACTTTGTCATAAATCGTTACCGAATTAGTTAAGTTTACAACATTTTATAGTGACCGTATTAATATTAGATATATTTATTTCTTTAATTAATAGAATGACTGGCCATCGCACATGATAATAGAATCTACAAATAACAAAATTTACCTAAAATTAGCGTTCTGAGTGCATTATTTATGTTAGTGTATGCGATAAATTTGACCCGCTAGTGCTATGTTCAGTTAATCTCAGCCCAAACACACACACAGCTGGACATAGGCCTCTCCCAAAAAGTTCCACGACAACCAGTCATGTGCCATCCGCATCTAGTGGGCTCCAGCGACTTTGACCAAGTCGTCCGTCCACCTTGGTCCATGATATGTTTAATTAGGGCTATTTAAAGTTGTAGACTCTTATGTGATTATGTTTCCGTGCGATGGCCAAGTCATTCTATTAATTAAAGAAATAAATATATCTAATATTAATACGGTCACTATAAAATGTTGTAACTTAAACTATTCGGTAACGATTTATGACAAAGTTGTCGGATAGATGATTTCATAGATAGGTAATGAATAAATTAACCGACTTGGTTTTACATTTACATCTCATAGCTTTTGAGGTAGAAGAAATGGCGTTGCGCAGCACTCCCCCCCCCCGAGACTTGCAATATTTTTACAGAATGTTTTTGATGGGATTTTATTTTAGGTTATTGAATTGATTCTTAATTTAGTTTTATTTATTTCAAATTGTATAATTTTATTATAATATAATAACATTCTAATACTTAATTTTTAAGTACACAACAATATAGGCAGTGGTAGCCCAGTGGTAACGCGCTTGCTTGGGAAACCGAGTGAAGCGGGTTCAAATCCCGGGTCTTGCACCTCTGATATTTTTATGTGCGAATCATTTCTAACATGATTACCACTTGCCTTACGGTGAAGGAAAAACATCGTGAGGAAACCTGCATGTCTAAGAGAATCTAGCAAGTTTTCGAAAGACATGTGAAATCCGCCAACCCGCACTTGGCCAGCGTGGTGGACTATGGCCTGATCCCCCTCGTATTGAAGGGAGGCCCGTGCCCAGCAGTCGGACGTTAAAAAGGGCTGAGTACAAGTACACAACAGTATTACGTTATTTTTCTTTTCCTGCAGAATGGATGTTATAAAATATAAAGCTTAGTGCTACAACAATAATTTAATGTAACGTCTTTACACAATATATTTATACTTCCTTTCACTTACAAATAATTTCTATCAAAAAGAGGAAAACTATATTTCTAGTAAAACAACGAATAAATATATGATAAATAACTACGACACTATCAGAATCCTTTGGTTTCTATAGAGAAAAAGGTTTTTTTTTTTGAATTTTTACATTATAATATTATCATTTATTCCAAGGAAATGCTCCTGCTGTACGAGATAAAAGTATCATATATCCGCCCCAACTATAAGTTTTCTTTGTGGTTACCTTTACAGAAATCAATTCAACGGTTAGAAAAGAGATTAAGAATATAGATAGTCAAATTTTTACACTTTTTTATATATTAAAAAAAAAAACATGTTTAATATTTAAGATTTTTCAATGATAAGTGCTAAATTTTGCCCATATCTCCTTTTGCATGATCCGTGTATAGAAATGGCTTTTGCTACTTAGGGATAATGCTAGCTAATATGCTGATAATGACATAATTTTTAGTCATATTTCGAGAAATAACCACCTTAAAACAAAAGAAAAAGAGCTTTTTATTATAGTTTATGGTAAATTATTATAGTAAAAATGAAATCCAGAAATCGAACATAATATGTTCAACTTAGTATATATTTAACTATACCTACTATGCCACTAAGAATGAAAAAAATCAGAAACTCCCATTTCCAAACGATCATAAAATATTTCATCTCCAAATGATTTACTATAGGATTTTGAATGAGGTAGTTATTCAATCACGAACTTTGAACGTTCTATGGCCATTGATCGAGATAAAGGTGGATACGAGAGTAGAATAATTATAGGCTATGGGTATTTTATAGCGTCATTAAGAGAGGCGGTATTCTGAACATCCATTATAATAAAATATAATTCATTTCATTGATGTCAGAATGCTTTTATTTGGCCTAAATGTCATTTCTTTGTTATTTCAACACCAAGGGGTTGGTAGACGTTGTTTTGCCCTTAACTGAATGTGAAATCTATTTATAACTCGATGACAGCGTCACAGGGTCCGGATTCTAGCCAATAAAATTATATTGTAAATAGTGACTTGCTCGAGTGCGTTTATATTGCTTTTTGCATTGATAATATTAAATAAATAAATATGTTGGGACGTTAACACACAGCACCATCTAGTTCCATGGTAAGCTACAAGAGGTTTGTGTTATGGATACCAGATAGTTGATATACTGCACATATATAATTTTAGATAATGAATGCCCCCAACGGGACTCAAACCCGCGACCGCTGGCACAGCAAGTAGTTAGTACAAACTGGACCAAACGTGCCGTCATAATAAAATATTATAAACAGGTAGCGGTATCTTTTGGCAAATTCTATAACTAACAGTAGCCCGTAAGCTACTCCCAATAGGTTATCTATATATCTACGAAAAATCAATCAAATCTATCCACATAGTTGTTTTTTAACCCCATCCAAAAAACGACGGGGTGTTATAAGTTTGACGTGTCTCTCTCTGTGTGTGTGTGTTTCTGTCTGTGGCATCGTAGCTCCCGAACGTATGAACCGATTTTGATTTTATTTTTGTTGGTTTGAAAGGTGAATTAGTCGGGAGTGTTCTTAGCTATGTTTGATGAAAATCGAGCCAAGATGGTGGGCTTTTTTAATATTTAATTTATCATAAGATTTACGCCATTAGTAGATATTTTAAATAAAATTATCATTTCGGTGTTTTTCACGGATTTATTTTGATTTTTAGTTTCAAATGCTTTACAGCAATCATGGTCGTGGCACAGACTAACTTCAGCAAATCCGTACTGTTTTAGTTTAAAGGAGTAATAAGCATACACATGCTTACAAACATTGGCGTTTATAATAATAGTCCGATATTATTCACTTTGGCCCATAAATATTCTTCTTAGAAACTTAACTATAGTACTTATTGGATGTTAGCTTAACTATTCATCTATATTCATATTATAAAGTGGTAAAGTTTGTGAGTTTGTGAGCTTGTGACGTTGTAGGGGGTAATCTCTGGATCTACTAAACAGATTTAGATGAAATGTGGCAAGAAGATAGTTTGAGACCCTGGGAAGAACATAGTATACTTTTATCCCAGAAATCATCCCTTAAGGGGGTAAAAATGGGGATAAAAGTTTGAACGGGGAATCAAGCTAGGGACGAACCCGAGCAAAGCGAGGGTGAATCGCTAGTATAATAGAAAGTGCTAGAAAAAAATACACTTTAATGACTTATTTTATTTGCTTTAGAATTTTTACTGGATTTACATCTATAATTATTTCATTTTTCCCTTCCTATCCATCAAGTATCATTAAGACGAGTTTAACTACATCTTACATGTTAAAATACTGTTTATGCTTCTATGTTATTCTAAGCAAGAGACTAAAAATAAAAATAAATATTCGTTCGAAAAAATATAATGGGAGTACATTCTAATAAATATGTCTATCATAAATAAACATAAAATGCTGTTCGTCGGTTTCCTCGTTAGTTGAAAAGGGCTTTGGGCTATATATTTTTTCTTAAAATGTTTGTAATAATGAGATTTTTTAATACTTTCTTATATTACGTGAATAATTGACACTGTAAATAAAACTATCTTTTCGGATTCATTATAATTGTTGTATAACGAAACGTCGGGAACCGAAAATAAAAATAAATTCGCGTGAAAATCCGACATAGTTATATTTAAAACTAGCAGAACCCGTGGCTTCGCTCGCGCTAAAACTACAAAAAATCTCTAAAAAGATAGGTTTCATACAAATTTTCATGCCATATTATACCCCCTTACGGGATATATATTTATTTAATTGTATTGTAGAGTATTAATGCCAAGTTTCAAGTAATTCTAATGATAAATATTTTTTGGGTTGTATTATAACGTGTTTTTCCGTGGGAATGAGATAATCTCCGCGGTAAAAAGTAGCCTATGTCACTCTCCAGCCCTCTAACTATCTCCACATAAAAAATCACGCCAATCCGCTATTCCGTATCGACGTAAAAGAAGGACAAACAAATAAACAAACAAACACACTTTCACATTTATAATATTAAGTATGGATTGTTGAATGATTGTTGATGATTGATGAATTTATATATGTATTTAAAGACAAGAAACAACGTTGAAATTTAAACAAAATATCCGTAGAACCAGCTAGTTGTGAATAAAGGTTCACGTAGATATATATTATTATAATATATTATGTCACAAAAACAATGGTACGAAACATTACCAAAGGTACTTGATAATGATAGCATTATACATTCAGTTTAAATGACTATTTTGTTTATGTATTTATTTTAGTTAAAACAAACTTAATTACATATTTTAAATAAAGCAATGTTTACTAATTGGCGTTATTTAAAAACGGCACGTTAAGCTTTTAACGGTATAAAATACTTAATGATGATTTGTTCTAGACTTTAGACTTCATACTTGGTTTTTATGGTTAAACAAATAAACCAATAATAAAGTTTCATATTTTAAATAAAACTATCTTTTCGGTTTTTGTCGCGAATTTTTTTGATTTTTGGTTGGAACCAAAAATCAAAATAAATCCGCGAAATAATCCAAAAGATAGTTTTCTTTAAAATGTCAAGTATTCGCGTAAATCTGAGAAAGTTTTATGTTATGTATACATATATACCATGTGTTAAATTCTTGTATACAAGCTTCGTATTTTTTTATTTAAAAAAAATACTGAATTATATATTTCATTTTTTTTACTTGTATTAAATACTAACGGTACCCTTAACATTTATGGTATTCATTATCATACTGGTAGCTTATTTTGGCAAAACCCAACCCAAAGCCTAGATAATCCCTCTTTCTATTAATGAAAACCGTATGAAAATCTGTTTAGTCGTTCTGAAATTAATTTTTAGGAACTAGCTGTCCTGAACCCGAACAAACATAACTCAGCATGGCGGGGAATTAATTTATATAAGTAATAATAATATCTAGTAAAACTATGACTATCTTCTCCATTGTACGTGACATTGGCGAAGTAATCTGTGCTAAGATAATTATATAATTGATTTCCCATACAAACTTTCATCCCAATTTTCACCCCCTTAAGGGATGATTTCCGGGATAAAAAGTATCTCTGTCCTTCCTAGGATCTCAAACTATCTTTTTACCAAATTTCATCTAAATCAGTACAGTAGATCCAGAGATTACCCCCCACAATGTCACAAACTCACAAACTTTAGCTCTTTATAATATTAGTATAGATGCACATATAAAATAGTGTTTCCACTTTAAACCATAACTTTATTTTGTTATCAGGTGGTGGTTTTATGAGGCTGTTTGGCACTTACCTATCCTCTCACGGGTCCTCTCTCGGCACATACTTCAGACTTCTCAGACCGAGAGGAGTGCCGTTGGACTTTCGTGAAATTCTGCAGAGATTAAACACACCGTTCATGTTTTGTTTGAAGATACCAGGATCTACTTCGTTAGCTGAGGTAAGTAATTATTAGTTACATGTTACTAAATAAATTAACGTCTCAGTGCTTATTTACCAACTTACCGAAAGAATAAAACTATATTTTCGTTAGGTAAGGTTATAGACGTCTGAAAGTCTATTTGAGACGTCTATAACCTTAGTCTCTCCCGTGACCATGGATGCTGTAAAGCATTCGAAACGTCGGGAACCAAAAATCAAAATAAATCCGCGAAATAATCCGAAAAGATAGTTTTATTTAAAATGTCAAATATTCACTTTAAAAAGTCGAAAAGATGTATTTTATATATATATGAAATATAATATTAAAAATAAAACTTTGTATCTAAAATAGAAAAAAAATCTCGAGTGAGAAGTCCAACACATATTAGTTGTGATGGTGAAAATAATAACTATATAGATTATTTGTTCAAACCAATAATATTTATTGTGGGGCGGGGCTACTTTATATTATTTGAGGTATGCTGTTGGCTATTAGATCATAATAAAATATTAATTGTCAGTACTATACTTATAAAATAAATGTATTAATATGAATGCTAGGCATATCTTCTTCTATGGTTATATATAATAATTCTTTTTTTTGTTTTGTTGGGGGTGTGTTAGGGGTAGTTTAAGTATAAAAAATAGGGAAAACCCAAAAAAAACAGCTGGAAAATTGAAAAGTTCAGAACTGTATATTTTGTACCTATGTATATACAATACCTGCAAGGATACCAATCCCTTGATTCCCCATACAAACTATCATCCCCATTTTTACCCCCTTAAGGGAACTTCCGGGATAAAAAGTATTCTATGTCCTTCCCAGGGTCTTAAACTATCTTCTTACCAAATTTCATCTAAATCGGTTCAATAGATCCAGAGATAACACCCTACAACGTCACAAACTCACAATCTCAGAAACTCACAAACTTTACGTCTTTATAAATTATTAGTATAGATATCTATTCCATACTAATCGTTAAAACGTACCTAGGGATGAACCCGAGCGAAGCGAGGGTGAGTCACTAGTTAGAGTATAATATATCAAGAGATTAGCCTCCATGACCGACATTTATCAGAAGGATTTATGAAGACACACTTGTGGCTCATTTCGGAATAAATATCAATACCGTATACCTTGCGATTAAGCGACGGCGACCGTGATAACAATGAATAGTCGGTCTATGTAAACACCAACCACATCCAAGAAGTGAAACCTTTTTCTAACGACACAACAAAATTTAAAGGAAACGAAAACTTATTTAATTCGAGTGTATATTTTTAAAGTCTTTTACATACAATGACATTATTTAGTTATATTCTGACATTATATAGTTATTTCTGCATAACGTACATAATAAAGTATCGATTAAATAGACACATTTAGCTTAAGTTTTATTTGTAAAAGTATTTTCGACAACTTATTAAGATCTTTCAATATATTATGTAGAAAAATAAAAAAATATACAATAAAAACCGAACCCCAGGCATTAAAAAGTAAAAAATAACAAAACGGGGGTTTTTATTTAGAATCATCAATAAAAGCCGATACGAAGCAATTATAATCTATTTCGATACGTACAATCATCATCACATCTCACATCATCACAAATTGATGTATAGTATATTAACTATAATTAATTAGATTTCATATTTTGTCATATTTATTTACCTATTAGATATTTATGTCTTAAAGCATTGTCGACTGGCACCGATTACGAAAATATCTTTGTATTCAGCCCTTTTTAATGTCCCACTGCTGGGCACGGGCCTCCCTTTAATACGTGGGGGGATCAGGCCATAGTCCACCACGCTGGCCAAGTGCGGGTTGGCGGACTTCACATGTCTTTCGAAAACTTGCTAGGTTCTCTCAGACATGCAGGTTTCCTCACGATGTTTTCCCTCACCGTAAGGCAAGCGGTAATCATGTTAGAAATGAAAATATCTTATTAGGTATCTATTAGGTATGTTATGTGATAGTCCGCCACCGAGGCAGTTATTATATAAATACGTTATGTAGAACAATAGAGTTTTTTATTTTCTATACTTGCCGCAAGCCATTTACGTTAAAAAGAAAATCCAAAAAAAACGATAATCAAAATGTATTCCTTAAAGCCTTTGTAAAGTCGCAAAACACCCAAATCTATCGGTAGCCCGAAGCAGATTTATTTGTTCCGAATATAAAAATCAAAAGAAATTTATTATAGCTGGGGAAATAAAACATGTGTTTTTTTATATGAATCAGTAGAATGTAATACTTACAGAAGTCTAACGATGGTCATGTTTTTGTGTTTTTAATAACGACATGAATGTATTTGTTTTACTATGTAAGATACTAAGGCAGTGGTAGCCCAGTGGTAGCGCGTTCGTTTGGGAAATCGAGTGAAGCGAGTTTAAAGCCCGGGTCTCGCACCTATGATATTTTCATGTGCGAATCATTTCTAATATAATTACCATTTGCCTTACGGTTAAGGAAAACATCGTGAGGAAACCTGCATATCTGAGAAAACGTAGCAAGTTTTCGAAAGACATGTGAAGTTCGCCAATCCGCACTTGGCTAGCGTGGTCGACTATTGCCTGATCCCCCTCGTATTGAAGGGAGGCCCAAGGCCAGCAGTGGGACGTTAAAAAGGTTTAAATACATACATACATATTTGATACATACATGTTAGATTCTATTGATAAGTTGGCACTATTGGCATTTTATCATATAGCAATTATTGCGTGCTAAGATGGTTTTTATTGTAGTTCTGCCTGTTAAGAAATGCGTATAAGTTTTAAAGAATTAGTATCTCTTAGTATGAAAAAAAATCGTGTAGTATAAAAATAAAAAGCCGTGTCAGGTGGCTATGGCTGTTTAAAACATATAATATATACTTAGATAATGAAGATTTGTCGACAGTTGACATGTGCATTTTTTTTTTGAATTTTTCTTGTTTTATTGTAGTTTTTTGTTTCCGATGTTTCGAATGCCTTACAGCAAAATGATTGCGGTAATGACTCAACAAAAAAACCAAAATACAATTGCGAAAAAGTCCAAAAAAAACCCAGTTTTATTTCATTATCAAATATTCGCGTAAATCTAAGAAGGTATTACTATAATTGACAGTTGGCGACAATTTAAATCGTAAATTTATCTCTGAAGTACAAAAAAAACGTAAAAATTTAATTAAGAAGAAAATTCACCGGTAAAATGTGGATGGAAAGTAATAATATCTCTGCAAGCAATAATAATATTTTATTCGAAAATCTCATTAAACGATGCTTTTAACCTTGAAACGGATCCAAGCGATTAGGTTAATAAATGATGAGCGACACTTTATAATAGTTCGATGCCCGAAGCAATGCCCTTAGTAATATTACCGAAAGTTTCCAACTACCAATTTGCTTAGACTAATATTTTTATTTCGTCTGCAGTATTTGCTCATTTTAAGAAATATTACTGTGGAAGTAAAAAAAAATGTAAAAAAAAACAAACAAAAACTTGCCCAGTACGAGGCTCGAATACGTGACTCTTAGCTTGACATATTATATTATACTCCACAGCGAATTTCTTTTTATAGCGACTGGAAATTTCTACACTTTTGGCATAAAGGTGTATCTAAATGTAATATTTAAAGTCGTTCGATTTAGTTCTGCAATAAAATATTCGTAAGATTCGCGACGTTCAGTTGATAGGATCAAAGATAATGTGTATACATAAAATATCACCCTAAAACTCTTTTCTAGTGTAAATTATTCAACGTTATTGAATAAAGATCAACAATATGGTTAATCTGTTTCTTGCAAAGTCTCAAAAGATTTTTAATAATTTTAAAATAAATGTAGTATTGATATAAAAGACTCAAAGGTCAAACAAAGGAGTTTTTCGATTTTTCATAAGATTTTTATTTGAAATATTTTAAAGGTATACTCTTCTAGAGTGTTTTAAAGAAGAATCGCAATAATTTTAAAGTAAAATTATGAAGGATAGCGGATTTGCTTTCATTTTAAATAAAACATATAGTTTTAATTTATTATAGCAGGCTATTTGATTCGATATTTTCAATACATTAATTTTATCCCTGAAAATAATCTCTGAAATGAGAATTTATTTTTTTGCTAACTCTATTTCTGCCATTCAATTTACTTTTATTAAATTCAGAGAAAATAACCTCTAACAGGCAGACACACATCATGGAGATAGACATTGATCTCAGAGTGATATAGTTTACAATTCATCTCATTATATCAAGTGGTCAGGTTAGTGCACTAGTCTTTTCTAAAATGTACATAAAAAAGAGCTTAAATGAAGCGAGGGTGTATAATTAGTCCGTATTAATATTATAAATGTGAAAGTTTGTGAGTATGGATGGATGGATGTTTGTTACTCTTTCACGCCAGAACGACTGAACGGATCTGGATGAAATTTGGCACAAAGATAGATTATGTCTAGAATAATCTCTCTGTGTATATAGTCTCTTTTTATTCCGGAAAAATGGACGGTTCCCGTGGGATAGGTTTGTTCTTGTTTTCCTAGAGGCGAACCCTAGCGAAGCTGCTAGTACTCAATAAAAAAAAATTCTTCAAAAAGTGTTTCGGTGTCAGATAACTAGGTGACTTTTGAAACCTATAAACAAATAATCTAATCACTAATTATTGCCTGCGGCTTCACTCACGTATCTTCTTCATGTATAATATATACTTCCTTCACTAAGTAGGGTCATAGAATGATTTTATATAGCTTATAGTTTTTCTCAATAAATATACTATTCATGCAAAAAGAATGGTTCAAACCAAACTAGTACGTCTAGAAATTGAATGTTAAGCCAAAGGAAAACAAAATCTTCTTTAGCTTTATGATATCTGTATGTATAGATTCAATATTGGAGCTATCTAAAGTATTGAATAATCAAACGCTATTACGATATTACAATTTTTATAATCCCATTTAAATATTACAATAATATGAACAGGTATATTTATTTACGAAAAAAATATATGTTATTTTAGTAAAATGAAGGAGAGTTACAAAGGGTT